GGAGAGCCGGGTACGATCCTGATGACAGCATAGGGTTATGGTTAGGTTTAGGGTTAGGGAATTAGTAGTATTCAGGGCCGTCGAGAACATTTTCCGGCGCCCTGGGGAAGGAAAATCCTTTTGGGGCCCCTTTTACGCCCCCCCCCCCCCCGCCCCCACCCACTCTCACCTGCAATTTATCAACAAATACAATGTACATAGGCATATATAATCACTTTACTTTACTGTAGCATATCTATTACATACTAACATACGCTCTCTCTCTCTCTCTCTCTCTCTCTCTCTCTCTCTCTCTCTCTCTCTCTCTCTCTCTCTCTCTCTCTCTCTCTCTTTTTTTTTTCTCTCTCTTTTCCCCCTGCTTGCGGGCCCCCCCAAACCCCCGGGCCCCGGGGCATTGCCCCCTCCTCTCGTCAGGCCTGGTAGTATTTAAGAAAAACCAAGCAGTATTTGGTCCCAATACTTATAACTTAACCTTTGTACATAAATATATAAGATTACGCTGCGCGTTTTAACAATTATCAGTGTTTTGTCCTTCCGGTAAAATTTGCCTTTCTGCATGTAGATCTAGCCGGTTTGTGAATAACACCGACGATATGTAATTTTTCCAACTTAAACCATAATTTTCTTCAACGTCTTTTATCAAAAATTACTAACAAATAATTATTTGTACTAAATCGGCCTGTAAATTTGACATATATTTTTCCAGAGTGAAAAATCTATATATAAAGTCACTCATTTTGTCAACACCTCAAATTTGTTTAATTTAGCCTTGATCTATTTTGTTTGATTTTAAATTTTTTTTAAACTTACATGATCCTTGAGACGTCTTGAGATCCGCCGTTGTAGTGGCCAAGGTCGAATTTTTCTAAACCAAGGACGTCTTTGAAAGTCAGTTTGAAAAAAAAAGGAAAGAAAAGAAAGGAAATAAAGGTGTTGCAAGTTTAAATAATGCATGGGGGCTCTCGTGGCCTAGAGGTTAAGGTGTTGGCCTCTCATTCAAAGGTCCCGGGTTCGAATCCGGGTAGCGACCGAAAAATTTTCTTCTCTAAAATTGTCTCCTTTCACCTCCTTTCCTGTTCTCTAGCAATGTTCTGTTGTCTGCTTTCATTTCCACTTTTTACCCCCACCCCCTCACCTCCTTTGCCCTCTCCTCTGGGCTCCTGACTCTTTCTGCAGCCTTTCTACTGCTACTCCTTGGCTCCTCCTTACTGCTGTCTTTCTTCCACACCCCTGATCTTCTGGTAGGAAAGATCTATACCTAGCCTTCTCGGACAAGGGCGAAAAATCTCGAAGGGCCCGTGTGCAAGTTGCGCACGTTAAAGATCCCTTGGTGGTCTAAAATCGATAAGAGTAGGCTTCGGCCGCCACCCGGGCAAAATTCAAAATTTCCTACCAACTGAAAATATTAGGTGTGTCCCGCGCGCTCATATGACCTTATGCAGTTGCGAGCGCCGTAAAACACTTTACAAAAACAAAAAAACAACAAAATAAATGCATGTCTTGGAAGCAAACAGTCTGGAGGTGATGATGATGATGATGATGATGATGATGATGATATGATTTTCCCCCTTTTTGGTTTCCTTACAGAACCTGGTAGACTCCACGAAGAAATCTTCAATCGACAGCGAGGCTCTTTTTTTTTCTTTCTCCTTTGTCATTATACTCAGAGGCACCTCCGCTCGTCCAAATAACTCCATTCGGATTGCCATTGTTCCTGGACATTTAAACATAATACTATGTTTGACATCCTCCTTTTCATGGTTGCATCTTCGGCAACGTGGGTTGAGCTCTTCATTTACAAAGTTCTGATACCATCTCAAGCTCCAATGATGGTCCGACTGCAGTCTCGCTAGCTCAGCCTGGTCCCAGCGACATGTGATAGATTTTTGTTTCTGCTTATAGGAGTACCCAGAATACACATCTTCCAGGTGCTGGTACGTAGCTCTGCGTGGTGGGTCTCTGATTTCCCTCTTGATCATTGGAAAGACTCCTCTGTATGTTTTTGGTTGTCTGTCTCCTTCCCTCTCTCTGGCTTCATTTACAGCTTGGTCAGGCAAAACAAGATGCCAGCAATAACGGTATGTACATACATCCAGATAAGCTTGTCATTGTAAAAGTAAAGTTGGTCACCTTTAAGCACAAGGGGACTATCCCGAAAAATGTAGTTTTGAGAAAATCGAAGGTAACGTTTTCGGACCCTTGTTCAGTTTGTTTAATAAAAGACAAGGAGAGTTTTTTCTATAACCAAACAAATAGTATACGCACACCAATGAAACCAAACTTCTCCTATAAGTAGGCAATGCCCTCTTTTGGTGTAGGTAAAGATTTCTGGAAACCGCCAAAATCTGGGTTAGCCCGCTTGTCCTTAAAAGCGACCAGTTGTTCCCGCATCCGATCCGGACATTGGGGATTGCCTTGTTTGTGAGACAACTTCCTGGGCCTTCAGCATAATGCTGTGGTAGGGTGGCCAGTTCCTTTCCACGCCGCCTTTACTTCCCCAACTCGAAGTCAGGTACCCATTACTGCTGGGTGGGCAGGAGGGAGCGAAATTTTAAAGAACCCTTGTCCGAACCGAGGCTCGAACCCGGACTTTCCGCTCCGGAGACGAGCGCTCTAACCGCTCTGCTACCACATAAGATGTGCGGTGTCATGGGTTTTTTAATGGGGGGGGGGGGGGTTGGGGGGAGGGAGGGGGGTTATAAGTGTTTTACAGCGCTCACAACTGCATAAGGTAATATGAGCGGGCGGGACACACCTAATATTTTCAGTTGGTAGGACATTTTGAATTTTGCCTGGGTGGCGGCCGAAGCCTACTCTTATTTATCGATTTTATACCCACAAGGGATCTTTAACGTGCGCAACTTGCACACGGGCCCTTCGAGATTTTTTATGCCTTTGTCCGAGAAGGCTAGGTGTAGATCTTTCCTGCAAGAAGATCAGGGGTGTGGCAGAAAGACAGCAGTAAGAAGGAGCCA